CAGCTGCTCTTTTTCCGACTCCCGAGCAGCCCCCTCGTGATCACCAGCGGCTCCGAAGACGGGCAGCTTTGGCAACGCACCAGCTTCTTCGACATCTTCAGCAGAGTCCTGACTGATGGAAAAAAACACAAGAAAGAAGTTGGGAGGTTGGGGGAGGTGAGACTTGTTTTAAAGAGTCTTAAAAACTTGTTTAATGTTTTGTAGTCGGCGCCAGAATGGAAACCTCAAGCGCTTCTATGAAAAGCATTAACATTTCTTCATCAGGTGTACCGCCCACTAAAGAATTCTGGTTCTCCAACTGCAAAGCTTTAATTTAAGAGGAGTATTTTTACAGAGAAGGTAAAAAAAAAACAAACACCAAAGCAACCACACACAGAAATTTGGGTTCTCGTTTTACACGGACTCAAGAGATGGAATGAGCTTAAAACAAAAATCAGAACTCTCAGGGTGAAATGCAATACACAGCTACATAAACAGAAACAGTACAGCAATTTGATTAAGTTTTTCCTACAGATTACCAAAACCCCCTTTGAAATGGAAGCGCCAAACACGTTGACCTTGCTGCGCTCAGGTATTTTAAAAACTCAAGCCACAAAGGAAAAGAGAGAGGCTTTATCTGACGGAGACTACTTTGCGTCCGTTGCCATTGCAAGTCCGCAAGAGAGGCACGCAAGTTGGACCCGAAGTTTAAGTAAGGCTTTCAGGTTGCTTTTTCAACGCGGACTCTATTCAGCTCTTCAAGCAAGAGGCAGATAGAATCAAGTCCCCTCGTGCAGCCACGCTGATTTTAGGCAATTGCTACTCTACAGTTACTCTGGAGAGTCCTCCTCCTTCTCACGACACAATTCTTCAGAATTCCCCTCCCGAAGCAGACCTCCACTTTTAATCTCATCTGCTCTTTTTATCTTGAACTTCAATGACATCTACCTTAGCAACTAGTACTTTTGAACTTAAAATTTTATACTACCAGCTGAGATGAATCAAATCAATGTCATTGCAAGTGAAAGGAGCTCAGCCATCATTTCGCGCTATCTTTTTATCTTGATGCCACAAGCCATTAATGCACTGAACAAACAATTTCATCTGGGCTGAAAACTAATGAACTATGATTTTAAAGGTGACCTGCAAACGCAGGGTACAAAACTCCAGGATGGTTAAAATTCACTGAACAGCAAGGAATTATTCGCTTTACATATGAAAACTCTCCCTCGCACACCTGTAGCCTTACAGACGGAAGCAGGGGGCAGGATTTCTCTTAAAAGAGGGAACAAAACTCCTGTATCTTTTAAAAGTTGCTCCTCGCTTACAAACTCAGGGAGCTCTGACCGAAAGTAAGCTTGGAGTAAGTCTCTGAGCTTGCGTGCAACCGCCAGGAGGCACTTACTCATGAGTGGGGGAAAATATTGCCCTGGGAACCACAGGGACTGCGTAAGGAAGCCCTAAGGAAACAAGTCTGTAGGAATAAATCACACATCACAGAAAGAGAAATGCTTGGTCAAATGGTTTTTTCAAAAGTAATCTCTCCTAAAAATACAAATGAAAGTCAATTACATTTAAGGGATCTGCTTGGATTTTTTGAGGGAGTTTGAATTTGGAACATGGTGTTGTGAAAACTGCAAAAGCTGTTGCCATTAATGTAGTAATTAAGAACAAAGCTCCTATTTAACCCACCCTAAAGCTTTTGATAACACAAAAATTTAGAGGCAAATTTTCTTTCTACCTTCTCTTCAGCTCAATGTGCAGTTCAACCACATTTTAAACATACTTCATCCTTACCTTTAAAATCATAATAAAACTCGGATTCACAAAACATTGCATTTTTTCTCTACCACTCTGAAAAGCAACGTAACTGAAATCTTGTATTTACATTTTCATATCTCCATTCAATTCCCATTATTGAACATGTAAATCTGCACGATTTGCAGCTCTCCACATCTTATAGTGAAAGCCTCCAAACTGTGTATAATCTAAACTCATGACATCCTTCCTACAGGAACAAACATCTCTGAATAATGGAAGAACTGTCTATAAAAATGACTCAGACTGAACTTCTGTACAGACAATTCCTCCCCTAATTCCAAACAAAAATAATACACCTGCAGACAAATTGTTGTGTAAATTTAGAATATTATCTTTCACCATTCATCAATTAAGGGTACTAACAAAGGAATATCTTAAAATGAATGCGTCTTATTAATGCCTTGTAACAGCAACCCCTTCAGATAGGTCAAATGAAAAATTGCCAACCAGCTGGTTAATTTATTCAGCACAGGTGTTCACTATTTATTTTTCAGCCATTTGCCTTTTTTCAATACAGCTTGTTGTAGACACAGTATTCTTTTCCTTTGATGGATGCACTTTGTTCTAAGGCCATTCATTTCAGATTTGCACTGTGTATATCATACTGCTACCCAGCTGTTTATTCTTTCAAAATAAATGTTTAATGGTTACTTCATAGGAGTTATAAAAGTTAAGCAAAACCAACTGAACCTAGCCAGAACGTGCAAATTGTCAGAAACACAATAATTGACTCTCTGGGAGAGTTTTAAGGTATTTTGGAAAACTTTTTCTTTCCCAGGTTTATTAATTTTACCACTCTTCCTTGTGAGTTTCGGTATTTTTTTGGCGATAATCAAGGGAGACGGTGCTGTACTGCCAGGGTAAATTAAATGCTTAAAAGTAAAATCTTCTGCTTTGCCCTAATTCACTTCTACAAAGTCTGAAATCTTAGTGCCAGGGGGATTCATTTCTGAGCCAGTCATCAGTCAGTATCACATCTTCTTAGGAAAATCATACACAAAGTTAAATTTTAATCTGATTTAACATTGGTTCTGAACAACATTTATTACAGCAACAGGGTTACAGTCACAATATTCAAGTGATACTGCTTTAAAACAAGCATTTTACCTGCAATACAGTCAAGCAGCCATTACTGTGCAATACAGAATTTAGGAATATTCTCAGCCTGTGACATTCAGATTGTATTAGTGTAATCCACACCCTTTTTCATTTTTTTTCCCCCACCCATGACATTTACAGAAACAAACACATGATTCCACATAAATATGTGCCAACGTTTCATTTACCTACCTATGGTATTATCTAAGGGATTCAAGGTTAAACTCGCATTACTCTCCCAAAGAGCCTTCAATAAATTCGGAACAGTGTTGTGTTCGGTGCAAAATCCCAAAGATAAAAATGATACACAAATACAAAGAAATAGTTCAGTCTTCAGCTGAGGCCCAAGCAATTACCACCTGCTCATTATTACTACGCTTACGCTCTATTCAGAAGTTCTGCTTCACAAGGTTACTTTTCTATGTTCCTCGACTTACAATAACAGGACAATGTGAAAAGCTTACTTGCTGCACGACATATATAACAAAGTATCCCACTTCCATTTCAAAACCTAAAAAAAACCCCGCAATTTGTACTCTTAACTTCTGGTAATGAAGACATACCTCTCCAAATACCTCCGCAAAAGACACTTACCCCGTGTCAGTGCTAAGACGGTATGTTGTTCTGTGTGTGCTTGTGCAACAAATATTCACAAAAGTGTATTTCAAACCAAGCATGTATTTTTTGTATGTCGTACGTAACGTCTGAGCTGAGTTACGTTAGTCCAGAAGCAGGAGGAAGGTGCCAGCCCCCAAAGGCTAACTGGCATTATGTTACCGGGAGCCTCTGACCACACAACTCCTTCCAGAGTATCCTGGGCAAGCCCTGCTCAACGAGCACATTAAACCCACCGAATTTAAAAATGACAAAAGGTGGTATTTTATAGTTACAGTTCGACTGCCCCTTTGTGCTCCTACTCTTGCATACTGATTTCACACCTACTTCTGAGTTCTGTCTTTTAGTACGACAACAGCGACTTTTAGCCAAATTAAGAATGGAAAACTTCAACGGGCTGCACTGCAGAACGATCTACTTCTCCCACCTACAGACACAACACTCCTGTGTTCTGCTTGGAAGGAAATTACCAACTCACAAAGCTGGCCAGTAGGTTATCCCGCAGTCATTCAAGGCCGTTTCAGAGGGATCGGTTCGCTCCGAGGGAGCGCAAGGGATTTCACCAAAAGCACAAGGGTATGAAGAACATTTCAGAGGTCACAGCTAGTCTTTGAAGACAACATGCAATACGGTAGTATGGTGAAATGCCTGAAGCCAAAAGCACAGTACGATTCTTTACACTGGCACATAGAATTATTTGGATATTTCTGTATTTATACTTACTCGCCAAAACAGAAATCTTCTACATGTTGAATAGTTCTGTCCTTCTTACTAAGAGAAATAACGTCTTCATTCTCAAGGATCAGTTTTCTCCAGTCTTCACATTCATCACCGATATCTGTCTTTTGCTTACAAAAAACAATTTTAAAATTACTTTTTGTACTGTTCTACATGCTCTTGAACTATAAATTTCTGTACTCCCAAATAATTTGGTGCAGCATCTTGCATTAAAGAAAAAAAACCCAAATCTTAACTGTCTTGATGTTTTTCCGTTCAAATTTTTTGAGTTAAAACAGTTAGAGCTGGTTACTTATTACAGCATGGCAACATTTGTACTACGTAACTAGCTCTAGTAATCTGAAAATAAATGAAATACAAGTTTTAGCAGAGATGAATGTAACTTTGAACACAATCTACTAAAGACAGGTTTGCCACAGCCAGGTTAGCTCCAGATTTAGTGACAAAACTCTTAGAATGGAGACCGTATGAAAAGAGATGGTGATTTGGGTATTATATTAATCTGTCCACACAGGAATCTCTAAATCACGTAACAGAACCCTGAGAATATTAAGTTCTGACATGGAGCAAGTCCACCGATTACGCCAGAAGGCAGCACTATTGTAATAAATAGGCACGAGACTGAACGGAAGAAGTTCCATCTTCTACGGCCCAACGGGCTCCAAACGCTTCAGTAAATACCGCGGACATCTCTTTGCTAATACAGTGCAAGTGCTCCAGCTCCTAAAGAAATATCCTCTTCCCAAGATTTCTAGTGGACAGTCATGAATTCCATAAACTTTGGGCATTGAAAAAGACACCATCAACATGAACTGTTCTGCCCTGGTTACAGCCCTTTCGGTGCAAAGATCCAACAACTGATCCCCGTGACAAAGAATCAGCTGAAAGCACACAAGTGAAACAGAAGGGACTGAGATATCAGCACCTTTCGGTGCAAAGATCCAACAACTGATCCCTGTGACAAAGAATCAGCTGAAAGCACACAAGCGAAACAGAAGGGACTGAGATATCAGCGAGTGGAAAAGAATCAAATAGGAAATGGAAAAGACCAGATTATCATTTACAGAACTTGCTGGGAAACGAATTGGAACAAGTGGAGTTGCTTCCACACAAATCCAAGAACTCCAAAAATTATGACTGAGCACGAGACTGTTTGGTCTCCAAAAATAATATCAATAAACCAGGCATATCAGAGTCTAGGCCAGATGGTTAAGTCTTAACCAGTAAACCTGGAAAGTGGAAACCTCTTTGATCTATCAAATTACCAAAGAGAAAGAGCACTGTGGCAGTTTGTCTTGCAATAAATTATGCAAACAACCAAGATTTAATGTTAAGGAATGTTACAAGAAATCATTTGGGAAATCTTTACCTGGTTTTCTTTAATCCAGGACAATAAACCTGAAAAACTAAAGCTGGCCCAGTTTCCACCATAGTAACTTCTCCTGCAAAGAAAAAACAACAGTGAAACTTGATGGACAGATAAAACACAGCTTGTTTCAGGTTTAAGAAGAAAAAAAAACAAAACAAGTTTGAGACATTCAAAATATTATCCAGGACAGATTTTACAGATGCAGAATATAAAAACTGGTAAAAACATTTCACAACTCTTAATGAGAGGCAAAATTTCCATTTTCACTCATTTGCATGCACCTTTGACCAGACAGACAAACTGAAGCATTTGGAAGGCAGCCTGAGTAACGCTGAGCAAAGCACAGGGGCTGCTGTGAATAAAAAGGAAAACCCAAATAACGCGACTTCTCAGCCAAGCCTGGCTCCGACTCTGCACCTCTAATCCCAACAGGGACGTCACTCCGGACGCCTTTACTGAGCGTGGAGCCAACCCAACAAGTTTGTCAGTTTGAAGTGAATTCTCTGCAAAGCCAGTTTGGGATTTTTGTGCCTGTCCCACCCTGCAGAGGTTCAGGCTGTGGCAGGACCCGAGCGCAGCCGGTCCGACACGGACCGAGGCGGGTTGGGCAGTTCACGTCATCGCGCTGCGCCGCTTCGAAACGAACGGCGGCTCTGCCAAGGAGGGTTCAGTAAACTGAAAGTGGGTCTGACAGGAGAAACCACATCTCTCTCATCCATTACGCTGAATAAAGGAAAGTTCACTCTATTATTTATCTACTGCTTACAGCACAGGTTATGCTTATTATAGGCTGGTAAGATGCTCTGGTACAATTCTTGTTAAACAGGATATACTGTAGGTGGAGCCAAAGGAACCAATTTGTACGACATGATCATACCTCTCTGAGCACGTTCCAGTTTATATTTATCATCTTCTTTCTTGAAAAATATTCATTTACTTATGTTAAATCACATGACATTAATAGTTCTGCTGCTAATCAAAGAAAGCCTCTGCTCTCCCTTTTTTATTTTTTTCTCTAAACATCAGTTGGCTTAATTAGCTCGTGTTATCATGCACAACACATCTTAACTATTTAACAACTCCAATAAGAAAAATAATAGAGCAATTACATTTAAAAAAATCACTAGTTCTGGCAAAAAAAAAAAAATCGTTTCAGGATTCAAGTCTGTTTTCTGGCACTGCAGGTTGGCACCTCAGAAACCAAAATTTCTCCCTCAATGGCTGTCTAATATTATTGCATGCACTAAAAAAATCCAACCGAAATGTTTAGGGAGGAAGATGGGGTTTGCATTTTACAGAATAACGTGAAGACTGTTATATCAGAAGGACGTAAAATCTTATCATAACCTCCTCCGCTTTGAAATTGTAGAGATGAGTGCGATAAAAGTGAAAAAAAAAAATGAAATTCGGGTTTGATTCGAGTGTGTAAGACGGGACGGATTTGACAAGGCTTATCTGCGCTGACAAAGACTTCATTCAGAGTGTCAGCCCGGCACCGCAGCGCCGGGTGACGCTCCCTCCCATGTTGCTTACTTAGCATATGAGGGACAGATGTCCACGAACCAACGTCTAATTGCTCCTGACTAGAACCTGACCTAAAAAAGTCTTTCAGCCACCGCAAGGCAATGGCGAAGAGCAGAAATAGGACATGATCTGCACAGACGACAAAATCCAGCACTTGCTGGATCAAGGTGCCTTCAACAGCAGAAGCCGGTGCTTAAAGGCACGAACCGGGAGGACTGGGTGGGTGCTCTACATGAAGGGTCACAGCTGGGTGGGTGCTCTACGTGGAGGCTCGTGGCCCAGCGGGCACAGAACGCGGAGGCCCGTGGCCCGGTGGGCCCAGAATGCGAGGCTCAACGCGGAGGCCCGTGGCCTGGCGGGCGCAGA